TCACCTGCTGCAGCACGAGCTGCCCGGCCACCACTTAGTTCTGCAAAGCTCTTTGGGCCTTTGTCCACAGTCCCCCACGATGCTGAAACCCCTGCTCACCCTTGCCCTGTCATTTGGCTCTACAGCACCTCAGAAGTTCAGGTGATTTCATGGCAAGTGAGGCCAGGGAAAGGATGAGAAGTAGCCAGCTCTCCCCTATCCCTTAGTATCTCCATGCTGAGTCACTGGGGCTGTCTTTCTCCCAACTGCTCATCTTCGCCTTTCTGCAGAACGCGGGGGGAAGTGTACCTGGCAGAAAAAAATCTTGGAGCCCTGCAGGCCCCGGAGCCACTGTCCCTCCTAGCGGCTCAGCATCCCCAAGGGCTTGCCTCAGGAAAGCCACCCGACGCCAGCAAATTGGATGCAGGGCAGGTAATTAGGGACAGACAGTGTCCTCCCACTGTTATTTCTTGTCCACCAACGCAGAAGTAGCAGGAGCACCGGTTCTCCGCTTTTCTACCTAAGGATCGTTCTGCTCACATTCCCCACGGGAGAGAAGAGCTTTGGACCAACTGTCTTACTAACCAAGCACAGACATGCTGCAACCAGGAGACATCCCCACAGGAAATGAGACCAACGGAATACAAAACACACAGCTCTGCTGTCTAAGAAGGAGCCTCCGTTTAGACAATTGCTGAGCCCCGTATGCCACACGTGCAGAGTGGTGGGGACGTGTGTCCAGCCCGGCGACGTCCCTTAGTCCAAGAAACCGGTTCGAGGGCGCAGGTGGTGGGCATTCTGGTCTACTGCAGGAAGCGCCCTGGCTAGTAGGTCACCCGTGAAAACCAGCTGCCCCCCACCTTTCTCCTGATGCCAGTGTCAGATCAGATGTGTTTAGCAAGTCCGGGCCCAGCCCGGCCTTCATGGCTTCCAGGCCCCTCAATACAGCACTCAGCCCCTCTCCCTAACTGGCGCTAATTCTGTCCACTCGAGTAAATTATTGCGTTCCTGGGCTCACTTACTCGGCAAACCACAGAGTGGGCACATCTCGGGGGTGTTTTCTAGAACAAATGTCCAAGTGCTCTGAGGCCTGAGGCTACGTGCGGACCTTCAACCTGGCACCCCAAAATTCCCCATGCAGGACAAAAACAAGCAGATGGGAGCAGTGTGCTGTGGTCGGGCTACCCCCGCGGCACTGCCTCCTGTTCCCCAGCTTGTATTAGCGAATATCTCTTTAATAAGTAATTCTTTAACTATGAAATTATTTCAGAGAATTTGGAAAGCTGATACAAAGAAAAGGGAGAAAATTACCTATGACAACACGATCTCATTCAGGGTTTCCCACACACCGTGCTATGGGCACCCTATGACTGCACGATCTCAATGAGGGTTTCCCAAACACGGTGCTATGGGCACCCTATGACCTCACGATCTCAATTGGGGTTTCCCAAACACAGCGCTATGGGCACCCTAAGACCTCACGATCTCATCTAGGGTTTCTCAGAGACGGCGTTATGGGCACCCCATGACCTCATGATCCCAATCAGGTTTTCCCAGACACGGCGCTACGGGCACCCTTATGACTGCACGATCTCAATAGGGGTTTCCCAGACACGGCGCTATGGGCACCCTATGACCGCATGATGTCAATCGGGGTTTCCCAAACATGGTGCTATGGGCACTTCAGGGAGGATCCTTTGTTGTGGGGTCTGCCCTGTGCACAGCAGGATGTTCAGCGGCACCCCCAGCCCACACCCACCAGGTGCCGATTGTTCTCACCCCCTGATGTGATAACAAAAAATGTCTCCAGACATCGCCATGTGTTCCTGGCCCAGTTGAGAAGCATCGATCTACTGAACAACAAGGAAGACGCTGAGAGGCGTTCTCCCAGTCTTTTCTCTCCATCCTCTGTCAAATCCAATCGTACGTTCATTCAACAAATATCTAAAGCACCTACTGTGTGCCAGGCATTGGAATTAGCTATGAGAAATACTATAGTGGGCAGGAAAGACATGCTCACTTTTACAAGGGGGTGATATTGTAACCACAGGGACAAACAGATGTTTAGGAGCTGTGCGAAGTGCCAGAAGTGCCCAGTAGGACATGGACATGTCATGTGATAAGATAAAGAACATCTGAGGCCAGGAACGGTGGCTCAAGCCTGTAATCCCAGCACTTTGGGAGGCCGAGACGGGTGGATCACGAGGTCAGGAGATCGAGACCATCCTGGCTAACACGGTGAAACCCCGTCTCTACTAAAAAATACAAAAAAACTAGCCGGGCGAGGTGGCGGGCGGCTGTAGTTCCAGCTACTCGGGAGGCTGAGGCAGGAGAATGGCGTGAACCCGGGAGGCGGAGCTTGCAGTGAGCTGAGATCCGGCCACTGTACTCCAGCCTGGGCGACAGAGCGAGACTCCGTCTCAAAAAAAAAGAACATCTGAGACAGGCCACCACGTGGTCAAGGCGGAAAAGCCAGGAATAAGCGCCCAAGAGCAAGAGGACAGAGGAGGCAGAGCCTGTACCCCCACCCCTCCCTGCCCCTCCGAATGCCACACAGGTGCACAGTCACGGCTGAGTCTGGGGACTGTGGGCTGAGGGACTTCAGCCCACTGGCAGGATAGCATCTAGCTATTTGCATTCCCAGAAAACAAAAACAAACACCACCAAAAAACCTTGATCAGTTTAGCCATATATAAAAGGAAGCTTTTAAAATATGTCCTTTGACTCAATGCTTCTGTTACCTAAAATATCTCCTAAGGAGAGAAAAATTCAAATGTGAAAAGACTGGACTCCAAGGCTGTTTATCACAAAGCAGTTTATAATGTAAAACACGCGAAACAGAATATAAGCGCTTAGTTAAATATAGTACGTTATGCTCACACCACAGCATAATTGAAGTTACATTTTGGATGTATTTTGTTTTCATGAAACAGCTCCAAGAGATGTTGTTAAATGAAAAAAGCACACAATAAAAATGTAACTCATGTATTTGCGCACGTATAACATGTACACACAAACCATACACATGTAGCCAACATCCACCCATTGTCTGTGATATCTTTAAAAATCAAGCTGTAGCACAATACAGAGTACCCCTGAGTTGTTTTAAAAATGCTAACGACAGAATAGAAGCATGGGCAGAAGGTATGAATGGGCACATCACAGGGAACACTCACGGCCAGTGGAGCCTATGAGGGGATGTGAAACCTAATGTGCCATCAGGAAGACGCAAATCGAAGAAGGGTCACAGTGTCATCTTGCACCCCTTCGAGGGCACAGGCTTCCAAGTATGACATGACCACTTCTGGGAGAGGAAGTGGCTCGCTGCACAGCGCAGCTGTGGCTGTAGGGGCAGAAATTGGGACCCCACTTTGGAGCCGACGAAGGGCAGTGGTATACATACGGTCTACCCTTCCAGGAAAGGGGAAAAGTGAGACAGGGTTAACCCCACACCCCCCAGCCCCCACCCACCACCACTCAGACAGCTCAGGCTTCAAGGCAGGGCTCTGCTCCTGGCCGACAGCTGCACAGCCCTTGCCTGGGAGCCTGCAGAAATGCAGACAACACACATTCTAACTGCAAAGAAGCAGAGCCAGCCCTGCCCTCTCCACACTGCAGGATGGTAAACTGTGGAGTTCAAACAGTGGTATACCATATGGTGGCCAAAATGTTTGCTTTATAAATCTTATCAACAATGAATGTAAACTGTAAGTGCCCTCTAATTATATATACTCATTTATTACTATTTAAACAGCCCAAACCAAAAATAGAGATACCTTTCAGCTAAACACACAGATATGATGAAACTGCATTAGAAAGCAAAGCAGGGAACAGAGACAGTGAATCTGGGGGGTGGAGACCTGGGGCGGGGCCAGAGGAGGGTGGGGTGGGGAAAGAGCCAGGAGGAAGGGGCAGGGCCACGGGCGGGTGTGGGCTTGTCTGGCGCTCTCACTGCAGTTCACGGTGCAGTCATTAAAAACACATTTATAAAAGAGAGGCTTGCGTGGACCAATGACAAGATTGAGCCACGAGCCAGTGTGATGATTAATTACGTATCTGAGCACAGACTCAAACAGGACATCGGTATGTGTTTGTGTGTCTGTGTATATCTTTTTGTCTGTGTGTATTTGGGTGGTTAAATGTGTGTGTATCTTTGTCTGTGTGTGTGTCTGTGTGTATGTTTGTGTGGCTGTTTCTGTGGCTATACGTGTGCCTCTGTGTGTTTGTGTGGCTGTATGTGTGTATATATGGATCTGTGTGTGGGTTTGTGTGTCTGCATGTGTCTGTGTGTGTGTATGTGTGTCACAATAGTGGGTCAGAGGAGAGATGAGTATCTTTTACCTTCCAGCATCCTAAACTGCAGGATTTTCCTTTCTTCTAATTGTGAATATATTTTATTTTTACAATTTTTAAACAAAATTGCGAAATATAAAAAGAATCCAACCTAGTAATGTAAACTCATCTCAGAGACATGGAAAATTGGTAACAGAGCTCGGGGGAGTTCCTCCCATGGTCAGCTCACATATCCACATGTATGGACTAGGAGTGTGGTCCTGAGGCCGGTCCTGACACCTCCTCTTCCGGGCCTCGGGCACACCTGCCTCACCCGTCAGGTCCAACTTTGACCTCTCTCAGGAAGCACCTTTGGGACCTGCAGGGTCACCTCTCTCTGTTTCCTGAAGGCACAAAATATGGAGGACAGCAACGGTTTACCCGATGGTGTGCTGGGCACTGTGCTGAGTGTTTGGCAATACTCTCTTGCTTAACCCTAAAACAATCCCACAAGAAGACACCATCACCCTCATGGGGACATAACACATTTCAGAGATAAAAGAATCCATGTGCAGCTCTCCAGGACGGGCAGAGTCAAGTAACCCAGCCTCTCTGACCTTGTGGTGTGCAGCTCTCCAGGACGGGCAGAGTCAAGTAACCCAGCCTCTCTGACCTTGTGGTGTGCAGCTCTCCAGGACGGGCAGAGTCAGGTAACCCAGCCTCTCTAACCTCACGGTGTGCAGCTCTCCAGGACGGGCAGAGCCGGGTAACCCAGCCTCTCTGACCTCGTGGTGTGCAGCTCTCCAGGAAGGGCAGAGCCGGGTAACCCAGCTTCTCTGACCTCACGGTGTGCAGCTCTCCAGGACGGGCAGAGTCAAGTAACCCAGCCTCTCTGACCTTGTGGTGTGCAGCTCTCCAGGACGGGCAGAGCCGGGTAACCCAGCCTCTCTGACCTCACGGTGCCAAACCACCTCCATCTTCCCATCAAAGACCTCAAAGCCGTGCCCCCCTCATCATTCCACCGGAAGGAAACAGCTCATGGCATGAGTTCAGCGCATGCTAGGGCCTCCACAGGGATGGCTGAGGGAAGGCAGAGTGGAACAACTGGTGAGTAAGAAGGTGACCTAGACAGACGTGGCTGGGAGGTGAGAATCTACTTATCCAATGTCTCCTGTCTAGAGGAGGGTGTCACGGATTGCTGAGTGTTGTCCTGGGCAGCACCGTCAGCATCGGGGAGGCCATGCCTTTGGAGGAGACTGAGAGGTTTTTTCCTTCCAGGAGTTTTAGGCCAGGCACCACACGACTGCAGCTCAAGGAGGGGCACCCACAGGGGCCGAAGCCCTCATCAGCAACGAACGGCAGTGGTACACGGTCCACTCTTCCAGGAAAGGTGAACAGTGAGACAGGGGGGTCAACTTCAACCCCACACACGATCACCACTACTCAGACAGCTCAGGCTTCAAGATAGGGGTCTGCTCCTGGCCGACAGCTGCACAGCTGAGCACAGAGCCACGGGAGAAACATCCATGGGCGTCCCCATGTGCTAGGACAACCGTGGCTCCTGCTCCTGACCTCCTGCAGCACAGCTCCAGTCTGGTGCCAGGCATTAAATCCTTACCCACATGATGCTTTAACTGCAGCTGCAATCTACATAGCAAATGCCAAGTGCAGAGATCAAGGCGAACAGGAGGCCTGGGCACTCGGGGGCTCTTTGAGTAAATGACATCTACGCTAAAGTTTAAAGGTGGGCAAGATGGGAGTACGGCTTCCCCCACGAAGAGAAGATAGTGATTCCTGTTGGTGGAAAAGGCATCTGTGATGATCCTGAGCCTGGGAACCTGGCGTGTGGAGAAGCTACAGCCAGCCTGGATACAGCGTGGACAGCAACAGAAGATAACGGGAGAGGAGGCAGGAGAGCAGGAACCAGTCCCTGCAAAGGAGGCCAGTCACGCGTTTGGCAATACGGTAGGGCAGGAATTTGAACCAGCGCAGGCGGGGACAGCTGAACATGTTGCATTAAGGCTAAGACGAGCCACACAGACAGGAAGAGTTCAAGAGTTCTTGAGACCACCATCCAAGGGCGGGTAGGGATTTGGTCGTTGGCACAATGAATTCAGCTGTTCTTGTCCAGGGGATTTGCCAAACTCCTGATCTGAGTGTTCATCTCATGGTCTTGGAAGGGAAGGGAAGGGGTTGGTTATGGGGAAAGAAGACAAAGCCTGGGGCCCATTCAGGTGGATGGTCTTATAGGGGACAGACTGCAGAACGCTGCCACTTCAAAGCGCACATCTTCCGTATAAGGTTAAACCCTAGTCCCCCTCCTGCCACTTCCAGAGGCTTTAGGGAAGGTGGCTCAGTGGAGCAGAGGGGTAGGAGTACTGTTCGGAGAGGATGGAGGCCACATTCACCACACCTAGGTGGTGCTGGTAGAACCCCAAGTTCAAACTCAGTTTAAAGCAGTTCCAAACTGACAATGCCCCTAGGGCCTGGCAATGGCCAATGCAAAACCTCTCTAGAGACACACATCCTCTTTGTAGGAAGATTCTCACCAGTGATATCCCACGGCAAACGAGTAGCTCAGAGTTAGATATGACTACACTATGAGCTAGAACAAGTAGAAACCTCAGACAATAAAATCAGAACTGCAAACATCAGGCCTGTGAGGGATCAGACTTGGAGTCTGAAATACCTATACTTATTATGTTTAAAGAGATTTGTTTAATGACCCAGAAAATAACTGCAGAGAACAGAAAAGTATAAAAAAAGAAGCTGAAAGTTAACAAAAGAGAACCCCCAGAAGTGAAAAATACAGAATTTATAATTTAAAACTTAATGGGTAGGATTAGTAGCTGAGCTGACCTTGCTGATGAGAGAATTGGTGAACTGGAAGGCAGGTCAGAAGAAATTGTTTAGAATGTGGTAGAGAGAGACTAAGGGATTAGAAAGAAAAGGGTAGAAGACGCAGTGGGCGGGATGAGAAGTGTTGACACATTGGGGCGGATGTTCAGAAAAGACTGGTTTGCAGGACAAACCACACATCCAGATCACCAGCTTCCAGATGGACAGCAGCACAGTAAATGCCTGACCACACTGTGAAAGCACGGCCTTTCTCTGTCCTGCCAGGGCCTGAGTAAGAGGCCAGCTCTTTAGCACCCCCACTGGTGCTAGTCTCAGTTGGGGCTGACCTGGGTTCTATGCTCTGTGGGGAGACCCTGTCTTTACACTCATGGTTCCTCCTGGTGTGATTCCCAATATCCCCTCCTGTGATGGTTAATACTGGGTGTCAATCTGGTTGGATTGAAGGATACCAAGTATTGATCCTGGCTGTGTCTGTGAGGGTGTTGCCAAGGGAAATTAACATTTAAGTCAATGCGTTGGTAAAGACAGACCCACCCTCAGTCTGGGTAGGCACCATTTAATCAGCTGCCAGCACAGCTAAAATATAAGCAGGCAGAAAAATGTGAAGAGAGAAACTGGCTTAGCCTCTCAGCCTTCATCTTTCTTCCGTGCTGGATGCTTCCTGCCCTTGAACATCAGACTCCAAGTGCTTCAGTTTTGGGACTCGAACTGGCTCTCCTTGCTTCTCAGCCTGCATATGGCCTATTGTGGGAGCTTGTGATTGTGTGAGTTAATTCTTAATAAACTCATATATATACATATATGAGTTTACATATTATATATATTCCATTAGTTCTGTCCCTCTAGAGAACCGTGACTAATACATTCCCCCATCATGATACACACTGATTGGTTTTTTTGCTCTGTAGCAACGGACTTGTGTCCTCCCCCCTGCAAAAAAACATGTCTATATCCTAACCCTGGTTACCTGGAAATGTGAGCTTATTTGGAAAAATGGTCTTTGCAGATGTAATGACATTAAGGATCCTGGGATGAGATCATTCTGGACTTAGGGTGGGCTCTAACGCCCTGGCACTGAGCATTTCTGATGACAGGTGACCTCTCAAGAAGGGAGAAGTCCATGGAGGTGCACCTGAGGAGAGCCACGTAAAGACAGAGGCATAGCCTGGAATGACGCAGCCACCCAAGGCTGGAAGAGGTGAGGCAGGGGCCTCTCCTGAAGCTTCAGAAGGAACATGGCCCTGCTCGCACCTACATTTCAGACTTCTGGTCTCCAGAACTGTGAGAAGGTAAGTCCCTGTGGTTTTAAGTCCCCTGGTTTGTAGTAATTTGTCACAACAGCCCTGGGAAGCCAACAGAAGGTGTCACTTCCTCTGCCTTTTCAGGAGGGCCCACAACAGAGACACCAGGAACACCTGCTCACGGGAGGTCCACTCCCAGGGGTCTCCCATGCCAGGATCTTCCATGTGCATATTCATTGTGTGCATGTTCACCTGCCTTTCCTCTTGGCATAAGGATCTCTCACCCTTCATCCTGATGAAACGACCCCTACCTCACACCACCCACCTTTCTGTAATAAGTTAGAGCTGCTGCGTTTGAGCATTCCATTAGGCGGCCAGGCAGTCAGTGAGCATCAAGTAAGCTTTGTTTGTAGTTCTCATTTCTTATTTTTACGTTTAAGCCTCTAGTTAAATGAAACATGATGCCACAGGTATCAGGTATCCTTTCCATTAGACATTTCTGCTCAGAACAGTGATCTTTTTATTTTTAATTTATTTTATTTTTATTTTTGAGACAGAGTTTTATTCTTGTTGTCCAGGCTGGAGTGCAGCGGCATGGTCTCGGCTCACTACAACCTCTGCCTCCTGGGTTCAAACAATTCTCCTGCCTCAGCTTCCTGAGTAGCTGGGATTACAGGTGCCTGCCACCGTGCCTGGCTAATTTTTTTGTATTTGTAGTAGAGACTGGGTTTCACCATGTTGGCCACGCTGGTCTCGAACTCCTGACCTCAGGTGATCCACCCACCTCAGCCTCTCAAAGTGCTAGGATTACAAGTGTGAGCCACTACACATGGCCAACAGTGATCTTTTTAAATAGTTTTCTGAAAGGTGTCATGTGATTAAAGTGTTTCTCTGGTAGTAGATTATACAAAGGCCAAATTGGGGTGGGAAAGTGAGTAATTGATATTCCTTAGGTGGGTGGGTTAACTGGTGGCTCAAATCTTCGACCGGGGGACATTCTGCGGACTGCCCTGCGGCTTTAGAGCAGCGTTCCATCGTAGCATGTGCAGTCTTTGTTGAGCTTCGAGGCATCCTGGGAAGGGAGAAGGCACACAGGGATGAAGACAGGGTCACATGTTCTTTCCTCGGTTCATTTATCCTCTTTGAAAACGGGAAAAAAAAATCTCCTTGCTAAGTGGATGTTTTTGTTTATCATAAACTGCTAGGTTATGTGCAATGAACTAATTATTTCCGCACAGGCTAAGACAAGCCCAAAATAGCTGTCTATGATTTTCTGTACTTACCTTCTCCCGAAGAACTTATTCTCCCTTACATTTCAGAACTTGAGTCCCTGATTGGGCCCTGGTGGTATCATCTATAGAAATAAGCAGCAACTGCTATGAAGATCCAATCGCAAACATCCTGGTGACCTTTCAAGGCAGGACACTTGGCACCTTCTTTGGAAGACGCATTAGGGAGCGCAGGCACCCCAAGCCTCATTCGAGATCACTACTCCACACAGGCTAGGGGAGCTGGTCTCTCTTCCTTCCCCCAAATTTAAAATGTGCCATCCTATGACCAGCTAACCTTCCCTTGCAAAATAACACTCTGAATTTCCATCTGCCGAATTCAGACAGGGACTATGTCCTGCGGCGTAACTTGTAGTTTTCAAATATTTGCTAGATTATAAAGGATGATACTCCAGTATTTTTATATCATCTAAATTTTCCCACATCTTCCCCTGCTAAGGGTGAGTATTTCTGATGACATCTTGAGCAGATGCAGGAGAAATAATTTGGATACAACAGAGCACAGATGACATATTTCTTTGTAGAACCTCAAACCTTCCGTTTGCCGAAGCTGCAATAAGCCCCACACCCTCTTTAAGCGTCGTGAAAGATCTCCAAGTTGTAACAACCATGCGGGCTGCCATATTGAGCCATTTAACAGTTCATATGGTCTTTAAAATGCATATCGTGTGACAGCGGGTCTGAGTTTGTGAATGACAGCTTTTTATGAGAACTGCCTTCCATCCTCCTGAAAGATACTATCTTCTCATCATTGCAACTTGCTAACATCTTGATGGATCGAGGCAGGGGTGGAAACTGGTGGGAGGGGCAGAGGGGGGTTTGGAGGATGGTGTTGTTGGTGGGAGTGCTGTCGAGGCGAAAACCTGTGAATTATCAGAGTTCACGCAAACCAGATCGCTCATCTCTCTGTCCACGGATATGGATACAAAGGGATGATCACAACTCTATCAGGTCGTGGCCCAGAACTGGGTAAAACAAGGACGAGTGTGAAGTGTGATTTATCTGCAAACGGTGTCCATTCAACCATTGAGGCAGTCATAAAGGTATTAATTTAGCTGCAAACATTAAAATGTATACAGTAAGATGGATTTTTTTAACAGTTCAGTGTGGCATAACCTTAATGCGGTACATTAAAATCATTCATTACAATGAATAAATAGCTTAATGAGATTTGAAGCATCGAGCAGTCTCCCCCTAAATGTCTGATGAAGTGAAGCAGGCAGTGGCTGTCACTGAGCATAAATTATGCAAAATAATACACTCAACACCATCTCTCCCTATGCATCCTTGCTTTTGTTGAATATTCAAAGGGACAGCTTCCCAGGACAATATCAAATTAGTCTTTGTAATAAAAAAGTCTGCAACAAAATTATCTACACAATCCTTATCTGCATAACTCTCCATTTAAACAAAGGCCAGTGACAGGCCGATATCTTATTTGAGTGATGTGTCTCCACTCTAAGCAATGCTACCTAGTTTTGAGTCATTTTTCTTTTTGTTTAACATTCCTGGAGTTGACACTTCACCTCGAAAACTTGCAGTGGGAATTTAAACAAAGAACATTTGAGCACAGGAGCCTTGAGCAGAGTTGGTTAAACCGTGGGAACAGGAAAGAATGTCCTGGCAATTTCTCTACTGCTCCTTAGAAAAATTCTTTGTCGAATCAGTGCATTTAAATGAAGCATTTCAAAAACCTCCCTCCCCTTCATTTGTGGATTTCAGAAAGTGAGATGGTTAGGCTGGACAATGGGGGTGGGGCAGAGGATTTAAAGACCAAAAGCTCCACAGACCACCTCCCTGCAGCCGCTGGCTTGGGAAGATGAGGTTCTGAATTTTCTTAATGACCTTCAGATTTCCCCACACAGATTCGGATGTTGGATTAACTTCAGTAACTGTAAAAGTCACGGCTCTAACTATTTCATCCTGCTTGGTGTCTACAGTGAGAAGTACAGGATGACTCTGCGTGGCTGTCTGTCAATTAAGGCGACTCCACGCCGCTGCTGCCCCATTAGTGACTGTGAGAGCAGAGCATTCCCAAGACCCCACCGAGGCCCAGCGCCCCACGGCCAAGGCACTCACTCCAAAACCACGTCCATCCTCTCTATCTCGTCTTCAGACCCTTCCGAGGAACAGATCTTGAAATGGATTATGTTTCCACACCCTGGTGTTAGTCCGTTAAGAGGAATTACACTTACCACTTGTCAGGCAGGCTACGTGCCCCGGTTTCATTCATACAGTTTCATTTAATTTTCCCAACCACCTACCCAGCATTCTCACGCTCCCTTTTGCATAGGTGGAAAACAGAAACCTTAGGCTCAGAATGGTTGCAAACTTGCTTAAAGTCAAACAGCAAAGAAGGGAGGGTCTCTCTGAGTTACAGCTGAGCCCTCAGTAAAAAATGGATGCTTAATATCCGTGGACGGGACTGATGTCGATGTCTTGGCTGTGATGACATCACCTGCAGTCCATGGAAGGCTACCATTAGGACATCAACTGAAGGGAACTTTCTGGGCTATCTTTGCAACTTCCCCGTGAATCTAGAAATACTTCCAAAAAAAAGTTTTAAAAAATTATGCTAAAGCATCCTTCTACATGGAGTGAGTTGTCTGATGGCCAAAATACATCCATGTCAATCCCTGGAACCTATAATGTCATTTTACTTGGAGAAACGGTATTGACAAGCAGATGTGATTAGTAATTTTGAGATAAAGAAATCATTCTGGATTATCTGATTGGGCCCTAAACCCAATGACAGGTATCCCTATGAAAGACACAAAGTGAGACGCACAGATGAGAGGAGAAGGCCGCGGGAAGACTGAGACAGAGACTAGAGTGATGTGGTCACAAGCCAGGGAAAGCCGGAGCCAGCAGGAGCTGGAGAAGCCCAGGGAGGGAGCAAGCACGGTCCTGCCCACACCTTGATTTTAGATTTCAGATTTTTCCAGAACTGTGAGACAGCACATTTCTGTTGTTTTAAGCCGTCCACTTTGTGCTAATTGGTGACAGCAGCCCCAGAAACCTCACATACTATACTTTCAAAGTTTTGAAGGGAAGAAAACTATATCCCAATTTTTTTTTTTTTTTTTTGAAACAGAGAGTTTTGCTCTCTCCCCCTGGCTGCCATGCAGTGGCATGATCATGGTTCACTGCAGACTCAACCTCCTGGGCTCAAGCAGCCCTCCAGCCTCAGCCTGCTGAGTAGTTGGGGCTACAGGCGTGCACCACCATGCCCAGTTTACTTTTGTATTTTTTGGAGAGATGGGGGTCTTGCCATGTTGTCTAGGCTGGTCTTGAACTTCTGGGCTCAAGTGATCACCCACCTCGGCCTCAAAAAGTGTTGGAATTAAAGGTGTGAGCCACCACGCCCAGCCTCCCAATGAAGTCTTCAGAACCATTTTTCCTAAATCATTTATCCAGATCAAGTGAGTCAACATCATGGGACATAAAGGGATGTGTGAACTAATTCCCCATTAATTGGCAGGGCTGCATTGATCTCCTTTCTGCTACAGAGGACACAGGCCTCCGGCCTTCTGAGGACCAGGCACAGGCCAGCAGACCACCCTAAGGAGTCCAGATGGGGAACAGATGGAATGTACCCTCTACACAGCACTGAAAGATTGCTTGGAGCCAGTGGTTATGACACATTAACATCCTGAGACTTCTGGTTTTGAAAGGGACGTTCTTTCTGGGGATCTGGTTCACGTTCTTCAGATAAAGTTAAAGACACCACAGTTGTTTGAAAGCTAAAGCGACTCGTTGACTACAGAAAAGCACTATGCAGTGGTTTTGTTTCACTTCACAAGGACACTTGAAGGTCACCGTAACCACAGACTCCTCCTTATACAAGTGCACATGGGGATGTCTTGGTGCTGGAGGGTTCTGCACTCAGGAAAGGCACCAGGGAGGTGGAGAGAGGATGAAGGAAATGGGACAACCAGGAGACGGGGCCGGCAGAGCCCTGGACCACACAACTCAACCGTCCGATGGACACTTAGACATGGAATGGGGACCCTTTGGATTCATCAGGGCCCAGGAGTCCCGGGCTGTGTCATCTAAATGATGCTGTGACAAAGTGCCACAGGGCTGCTCCCCCTCGCCGGAGCCCCCCGCGTCTCCACGCCACTTCTGAAAACTCCAAGGCTCCTCCATTTTAGATTGAGCTTCAATAATTGCAGAGCCCTGCTTGCAAAATATGTCACTTGGCTGTCCCTTCCAAATCCCCAGTTACCTTGGCAACGCAGACTTGAAGGACAGCAGCCGCCCTCATGTGTTGGTGGTGGATGCACGTTTGTATTTTGATCATCCTACAGCCTCCAGCTTGCCTAACTAGCGCTCACTGGTTGCGATGAAAGAGTTGGCCCCAAAGACATGCAAAGCAGGCTTTCGACTCAGGAACTGTGCCCATCGGTGTCAGAACCACCTAGGAAGGCTGTCAGATCAGGGCATTTGCCACAGGGAAGTGCCAGGGAGGAGAGGCGGTGTAGGTGGTGTCTCCGGCTGCCAATAATACTGGCCGCCTGCCATTCACCTGTGTCTCTGAGCTTTGTCCCTCATCAGTAGCATGGGAATGTGAGCACCCACCTTCTAGGGCTTGCCTGGGGGTCTGTGCTGAGACAGATGGGAAGAACAGGGGCAGCCACACAGAAGGATCCACAGGAGGGAACCACTCCAACCACACTCCTTGGGGGAGAATGCATAGGAAGATGCATCATGGCCCCAGACCAGCCTTTCCCCCATGGCTGATCTGAACTCCACCTGGAGTAAGAGCCCGTCCAGCATTAGAACGTCCCAAGCCCACACCTCCACCCCAGCCTCCTCACCATGTCCCTCTCAGTCCCTGCTCCAGGTTCCCCTGCCCCACTTCTGTGCCATTTTCATTTCTCTAACTTGAGGAACCTGTCTCACTGTCTCCCTTCCCAGGCCAGGCCAGAGCCTGGCTTTCTCCAAGACGGTTCCGGCTCCTCCTGCCCTCCTTCCCCTGGAATCTTTCCCAGCGACACTCACATCCCACACAGCAGAAAGCCGGGCACTTTTGTGGCTGGTCTCAGGGGTTCTATGCTCCTTTCATCAGCACCAGTAGGGCAGAGAAAAAGCACATCACCACCACCACTACCACTATCGATGCCACAAATGCCACCACTGGCATTGGCACCACCCCCCCCACACCCACACAATCATCAGCAACACCATCACCATCTTGAGCACATTTACTACTGGCACCACCTTCATCACCACCACCAAGACCATCACACTACCATCAACAAACCACACCATCACCACTGGCACCAAGACCATCACACTACCATCAACAAACCACACCATCACCACTGGCACCAAGACCATCACACTACCATCAACAAACCACACCATCACGATCAGCACCAAGACCATCACACTACCATCAACAAACCACACCACCACCACCAAGACCATCATACTACCATCAACAAACCACACCATCACCAACACCACCACCAGCACCAAGACCATCACACTACCATCAACAAACCACACCATCACCACCACGACCATCACACTATTATCAACAAACCACATCATCACCACCACCAGCACCAAGATCATCACACTACCATCAACAAACGACACCAGCACCAACACCATCACACTACCATCAACCAACCACACCATCACCACTACCACCAAGACAATCACACTACCATAAAAAAACCACATCATTATCACCACCAAGACCATCACACTACCATCAACAAACCATACCATCACCACCACCAGCATCAAGACCATCACACTGCCATCAATAAACCACACCATCACCAGCACCAAGACCATTACACTACCATCAATAAACCACACCATCACCACCACCAAGACCATCACACTACCATCAACAAACCATACCATCACCACCACCAAGACCATCATACTACCATAAACAAACCACACCATTATCACCACCGCCAACACCATCACACTACCATCAACAAACCATACCATCACCACCAGTGCTATGACCACCACCAGCACCACCATCATCACTACCACCAAGACCATCACACTATCATCAACAAACCACACCATCATCACCACCACCAAGACAATCACACTACCATCAACAAACCACACCATCACTTCCAGTGCTATGACCACCACCACCACCACCACCACTACCACCTCCACCATCATCACCATCATCACCACAATCCAACTATCACAATCAGCACAACCACCACATTTATCACCACCTCCCCACGGTCACTACCACCATCACTACCATCAGCACTGCTACCATCACCCAACATTACCAAGCATTTAGTAGGTACCATGAACTCTTCTAAGCATCACTCCTGTGTTGACAAAAAGAGTCAAACTCTGTAAAATATTTGAAGAGATTTATTCTGAGCCAAATGTAAGTGACCCTGGCTCGTGACACAGCCCTCAGAAGATCATGAGAACATGTGCCCAGTGTGGTTGGGGTGCAGCTTGGTTTTATACGTTTTAGGGAGACATGAAACTACAATCAAATACCTTTAAGAAAGACATTAGTTTGGTCCAGAAGCGTGGCACAACTTGAAGGAGGAGGGTGCTTCCGGGTTATAGGTAGATTTAAACATTTTCTAATTGGCAGTTGGTTGAAAGAGTTATCAGTAGAAAGGAATGTCTGAGTTGCAATAAAAGGTTGTGGAGACTGAAGTTGTATCATGCAGATGCAGCCTCCAGGCAGCACGCTTCCCAGGAAATAGGTCAGAACTGTTTCTTATCAGACTTAAGGTCTGTGTTGATGTTAATGCCAGAGAGGTATCATGAGGCATGTCGGACCCCCACTTCCTGTCATGGCCTGAACTGATCTTTCAGATTTAACTCTAGAGAGCCCTGGAGGCATGTCCGAATCCCACTCAAGGCCTTGAACTGATCTTTTAGGTTAATTCTAGAGAGCCCTAGCCTAGGAGAAAGTCCATTCGGATGGTTGGGGGGTGCTTAGAACTTTATTTTTGGTTTACACCAGTGACAACTGTGTGAGATCGGTACTACGGTCATCCCATCTCACAGCCAAGGAAACTGGTCCAGGTACCTTAAATAACTTGCCCGAGGCCCCAGGGGAAGTGAGTGGAGCACCAGGACCTGAGCTCGGGCAGTCGGCAAGCAGAGTCACCCCTCCCAGACCCTCTTGGGACCCCCAGGTAACTCCCAGAGATGCCACGACATGTCACGCTGCCAAGATAGGGTGCCCTAGTCATCCTCAAACTGCACCTTTCCCCCGGATCATCACCTTCTCTGCAAAGCCTTCCCTGAGTCCTGTGCATGGGGGTGGCCCCTGGTCCAACCTCACGCATCTCCTGCACATCATGCTGCGCAGAACTCACCTTTCCCACATGCTTCTCCCCTTTCAGACGGCGAGCTCCTCAGGGAGCTACTGCCAACCTACAGGTGCTACTGCCAACCTACAAGCCCCAAGCTCAGTGCCAGGTCCGTGACAGTGCTTGATGGATGTTTAAAAACTTGGAGTCCATGCTCTGCCACCATCACGCAGGAGCCCCGTGGGCTCTGTATCGCTGAACCCTCCACACCCACCGTGCGCACAGCCAGCCACACCCCACCTCCAGAGAACACCACTGCTCCACAAGTTCCACACCTGCCCCATCCCCGTCACTTTCTGAAGACAACAGGTGTATCCATCTGTTTCATGTGACTCAGTCCAGAGTTTACACAGACACCCACATATGTCTAGTTCTTCAAGCCGCTGTGCATTTAAGAAGTCACGCTTAGCATTTATGTTGCCCTGGATGTGTTCGAATCGCTTTCCAATC